ACAAGCCTATCAGTACCGGGCACTGCCCAACGTCACATAAGCAAACCAAAAAAGGGTTTGACACCTGTCTCCTGACCGCTCCCTCACTCCATTCACATGTGCCACTGGTGTAATGTCATGGGGACAGGCTGGGAGGTTTGAATATGGCCCCTGGTTAGTTATCTGCCCATCTCTCATTGTTCCCACTGGGATACCAAGTCCTCAGAAGGTGCCTTATATAGATGCTTCCCAGAATATGCTTAAGATGTGTATGCAGAGTTAAGTTGGACTACCAGCTGAAGCCATTGGCCCCCAACCTTGTGCGCAGGCAACTTCAGGATGTATGCAAAGTTGCACACCACACCACAGGGATAAGAAAACCTGTGTTCAGGGCCATTTGAAAGACCAAATAATAATGGCATAAAAACACACCCCAAGGTTAACAAGATGGCTCACCAAAGCCTGACAACCTGTACTCTTACTTAACCTCAGAACCTGCACAGTGGGAAGAACCAACTACCGTAGGCTGTCCTCTGACCTCCACATGCACTGTGGTACACACATACACACATCCACAAAAATAAATGAATGTAAACACCACCTCCAGCAGAGCCCACTATGCTGCTGACCTTTGACTGTGTGAAGTGCCCAAGAGTGACTGGTAGGGCATGCCTCCGGATGTGACTGTGAGGGTCTTTCTGAAGAATTGGCTAAGGGGAAGGAGACCTGGTGTCCCTCAGGCTGAGGGCCCGGACAGAATACAAGGGAAGGAACAAGTCCACAGCACAGGCATCATTTCTGCTCTCACGCTCACTACATGCACCCTGTCAGGAAGCTCAGTCTCACCCTAAGCCCAGAAACAACAGACTACAGACGGAACCTTTGAACTGTGAGCCAAAATATATCCTTCCTACCTTAAGTAGCTGGTCCAAACCCAGCACGAAGTACCTACTACATAACAAAGAGTAGCTCACAACACGGCAACATGTTGCTGTGTGGTCAGCTCTAGGCTAAGGTTCACATATACATATCAAGCCACTGTATTTGGTCTTTGATGAATTCTGATCTTTAGGACACTGCCTTCAGGATGAATCCAGGCTTTTGGGAATGAGCCAGCACTGTGTCCTGGATATAGAAACACAAGACCCAGACCACGAGCACCCCACAACCTCTTCTCCTCCTCTTGATTTTCCTGGTGGGTTCCTTCTTCAGCCTCTTTCGCTTCTGGTTCTTCCCACCACGGACTTTGCGGTTCCTGCCCTGGGTGGGTTCCCGATCCAGCTCAAACTGCTCCTCCTTGTCAGCACAGGGCTCAGTATCAGCCTTCCCCTCTGACCAGAGTGGCAAGCGGCCACTGCCTAGAAATAACCAGAGGACACGACTGCTTGGTCCAGGCTGTGAAGGCCAGCAGTATGTGGTGCTGGTGTTGGCTCAAACTAGCAGTGCACCTGGCTATCTCTAAGGTGGACACCGGGTATACGCACCTCCAGACCCAAGTGGCATTGGGCGCTTGGAAAGGAATGTCTGGAGTCTTCCTGTGAGCCCATTCTCAGGGGTATTGTTCTGAAAGATAAGCACAGGACTGGGGTGAGCAGAGAACTTCTATAGATTCCCCTAGAACCACTGGGTCCCTGCATGTACCCTCCCTCCAGGAGGAACTATGCCACCTTGACTTTCTCTTTTCTAAAATGTAGAATCTGTTAACAGAATCAGTCAGAAACCACTGGGAAAACAAAACCTAGATCGGGTATTTGAGTGTCTCTCCCTGCCAACTCTGGCTTCCCCAACTTAGAAGTTGTGGGCAGGGAGAGGCTAAGAGTAAGAAAGGGTGGGGTGCCAGGAGCCCACCTTTCTGGCCTTGTTAATGATATAGCTGGTCCAGACCCAGTTGCGTTTCAGGTGTGCATAGAAGCTGGAGTCCAGCCCTGCAGCTCCCAGCCCGTCTCCAGGGACCAAGCCTTCATCCACAACCTCTCGACTCCCCCTGAGACAAGGCAAACAGAAAACAAGCCCTTCCTGGTAAACTGAGCCCATGGCATGGAGTGGGGGAACTTCTTTATGTAGGACCGTCCCAGGAAAATACTGAACAGGTAGAAAGGAAGAATTTGGAGTCCTAATATTGGCAGGTTGCTCCTTTTTCCAGAAGTGAAAGAAAAAAACACCACCCCCACTACATTTTCAGATAAAACTGCCAACTTTTAAGTTCTGACAATGGATGGGATTTTGGAAAAACAGTAATGAAACAAACATCTAAGGGCCAAATATGGTCCACAGCTATCAATGTGCTGCCTCTGGCTTCCAGCCCCAGTTGTTAGCCAGTGGGGCCACAGGGATGGATGCTGAGAAAGCTTTGCCTTGGGCAACAGCCAGGAAAGTCAGTGGAGGGATGGGACGCACGTGGTATACTCCAGCATGGCACATTTGCGCTCCAGGTTGTGCTTGTCCACGGCGCTTTCCTGTTCCTTTCTCAAGTTGCCCTCCTGGTCGCCGCCCTGATCTGAGCAGATTTTTTGCGAGCATGGGCAGCGTACCACACCTGGAAAAAACAAAACGGTGCTCAGGGACCAGTCTCCTGCCAGGCACTGGCAGCAACTGGAGAGTGAAGAGAGGATGTCTGGTCTGTGAGGATGCTCTTCCCCTAACCAAGGAGCCCCGCACTGGGAGAATCCCTTTTAGTATGTCACAGACTGGAGGGAGCAGAAGGGCAAAAACACCAGCGGGGAACCTAAGAGGGGTCTCTATTAGGTAGGATAGAGTCTGTTAAAGATAGCAAAGGCAAGTGGCAAGCAGTGGAAGCCACCTTCCTGCCCAACAGGGATATCCTCAGGAGAAAGGACAACCCTGTGCACTGAGGTATCACTGTAGCCAGCACAGCAAAAGAGAAATAAGCAGCAAGAGCTGCCCAGGCCAGAATGAGGAGAAGAGGGTGGAGGCAGCACCCTGCCTGGCTCTAGGAGCAGCCAAGTCAGTTATTCCACAGTAGAGAAAACCACATTTTTTTGCCAGATCATTAAAATACAGCAAAACCCCGTTTTGCTTGATTATGTGGGCCAGGGACAGTGGGATGCTCAGGCCGCTCTCCACTCAGCTAGAATGGTGCCTGAGACACCTTGCTCAGCCTCACTCCACACCATACAGAGGTTTAAAACCAAAGAAAATGAGGTTTAGGGAGGTCACAAAGACCCTGCACTAGACCACTAGATTTGAGTGGACATGTGACACTTACAGATTAAAAGTGCCCACCAATGTGTTTGATAAGATATACTCGCTGGGCAGGCTCAGAAGCAGCGTTCTGACAGCCCATCTCCTGTGCACACAGGCATTTCGGCAGCTTCCGCCTCACAACAGGACTGTGCCTCACGATGGATGCAGAGCTTCTCCCTATTACTTGGGGCAGAACCTCCTGGAAAGTTTGTTGAAGGTACAAAGGATGTCTGATTAATGGGTCTCGATTAAGCCTGTGACATCTCTGTTCACAAAAACTATGAGGGACAGTAATGTATAGGTATAAAATATGGGGAAATTAGGGCACTTAAAAAAATCTACAATGGTAAGGGCTGGAGAGATGGCTCAGTAGTTAAGAGCACTGGCTGCTCTTACAGAGGACCCAGGATAGATTCCTAGGACCCACATTGTGGCTATCAACCGCCTGCAACTCCAGTTCTGGGGAAATCCGATGCTCCCTTCTGACTTCTGCAAGCATTACAGGACGCGGGTGCACTTACACACATGTAGGCAATATATTCACACGCACAATAAAAATATATAAAATATTAAAAAAATACAGGGCTGGAGAGATGGCTCAGAGGTTAAGGACACTGGCTGTTCTTGCAGGAGACCCGGGTTTGAATCCCAACACCCACATGGCCGCTAACAACTGTCCGTAACTCTAGTTCCAGGGGATCCAACAGCCTCTTCTGTCCTCTGAGGGCATTGCATGACACGGGTGCACTTACCTACATGCAGGCAATACACACATACACATAAAATAAAAAAAATTAAGTTTTTTAAAAATCTCCAATGGTAAGAGCATTGCTCACTTCTGAATCCCAAAGTGTCAATGAAACTCTGCAGTAAGACCTTTCTGCACTCCTTAAAGCTCTTGAGTGCAAGGGCTCGCTCTACTGTGGGCATCTGGTAACCCTCCAGCCACATTCAACTCCTGCTTTGCAAAAACCCAAGCATAGCACTGAAGGTACAGGTGGGTAAGGGAGGAATGGGGTCCCTTTCCAGGTGCAAATCCAAGTGGTGTCTTTTTCTCCAGGTGTCTTTTTCTCCAATGGAGAACATGTAGCTTAGAAGCAAGAGCACTGTAGAAGGGGCTCTACCACTACACACAAATCCCTGTACTACATTAGCTCTATATACACATAAAGGATGTCAACCCTGGACTGGGATTCACAGGAGGAAATCGGACGGAGACTAGACCTGGAGCAAGCTTTCTGGGAAATGACACTTGACCATCTCTGCAGCCAGCATAGAGAATGGACATTTGGGGACAGGACAGAAGCTCAGCTCAGCAAACTCAACTATTAGTATCCCACACTGCTAATGGCACACACAAGTCATAGTCCCTTCCTGACCTCTTAGCTCCCACTCTTGATCTTCTCAGTCCACTCTCCACATAGCAGCTGGGTGGGCTTTAAATACAAGTCATCTTTGTATGGTCCATGCACAAGCATTACATGGTTTCTCGATGCTCTTTAAAAAACCCTTAACTCTTTACTTAGCTTCTTGCCAGACTCCCAAACCTGCTCCCAACCCCTCCTCCACTCTCAGCTGCTACCCTTCCCTCACTTCCCATACCCAAGTATGCAGGGTCTCTTCTCCAACACATCCCTCAGGCCTTGGCATGAGGCACTCCCCCTGCCTGATGGCCTCAGCTTATACTACCCAGCTCAGCAGTGCTTTTCTTAGATGTTTGAGCCCCATTATAATGCTCTGCAGTCCTCACCGTCCGTGTACCCCTGACAGCTCTCATCACACTCCAGGGCTCTCTCCTGAGCTGTGCTTCCTCCTCCTTAGAACACAATTACTATGAATACCAACTTGCACATGTGCTTGAAGATGATGTGATTCGGCTCGATGTTTGATGAAGGTGGATGGGAGACTCCTTATTTCAAGGCTCACCACAGTGCTTTACAAAAAGCTGTAGGAACATCCCAGGACTAGGGTAGTGGTCTGATGGCACTGGGTTCTGTGATCTCCACACTCTTGTGGCTCTATATCCTGTTGGTCATACCAAGGGGAAGGGAAGCAGGGGCCTAGAAAGCCAGGATACCTAGTGGGGTGTTAAGGCAGATACACTGCAGGTCAAACCAGTAGCTTTCTACATCCTGCATGGACTCCAGAACATACAGACGCCTCTCAAAAGGCCGGCTGCTATGGGCCAGGTTGTAATGCGGGTCACAGATAGTGGTGTCGACAATGACTGCATTCTTCTTCAGGAAAACAAAGACCTGCAGGAGACACCCAACAGAAGAGAGGGAGAAGGGGAACACAGGGATCAGCATAGGGGCTGGTGGCTCAGGGATGGATTTAAAAATCAAGACTCTTTTGTTGGGCTGATACACCACCTGGTCTTTATCCTGGAACTTCTCTGTGGGCCCAAACTGCAGCAGTCCCATGTAGCATAGCCGCTGCAGATTCTCCACCACTGAGAAAATGTACCTCCTAGAACAGAGGCAGCAGGGTCCATCATGCTGCTCAGCACAGGGCCAAGACCAGGGCAAGGTGAGGCTGCTCCTCTCTCTTGCCTGGACTACTACCTCCACCCCAGGTGCAGAGGTACAGAGTCAGCTTGGGCTTTTATTTGGAAAGTAAATGTAACAAAAGAAACAAAACAAAAACACTTTGGCAGTTACAGTCCTTAGCAGCACGTTTTACTTACTATTTAAAAGCAAGTAATATGGACTAACTCATACATCTTTGGTACACACTACTAAGACTCTCGAGGCCATGCCGCCTGGAAGGCTGCACCTTCTCCTCTTCCAGGACTGAGAAAACATTTAGGACGCTACCTTGAGGGACTTGTCTGGCCTGAGGCTGCCAGGCGAGGGTCAGGTTCAAGGCCCTCACCTCTTGTACAGGAGCTGCTGCCGGATGTGCCGGGGGAGGAATCGGATCAGTGTGTGCTTCTTCAGAGGGTCGTTCAGAAAGTCCTCCAGGTTGTCCACCTACAGGGGTCATGTGCTCAGCTACAAGGCTCATGGAACACATATCACTACTCAACACTCCCTATCTCAGCAGTGGGTCTCCACATCTGCCTTCCCAGTCCACCCACCACGCCACAGAGTCCAATGATACATTCTGGTCCTGAAGGAAGGCACAACTGCTAAAGGCCTTCCAGGAGGCAAGAGAGGTACCCACAGAAAAAAAGGATGGATGTGGATTCCCTTTGAAGCCAGTGATTCTGTCTGCAGGGAAACTTCTGGAGCTGCACACTGACATACTCCCCGAAAATTATGCATCAACAGGTCATTTGTAAGAGCAAGGCACTGAAATGTGAATGTCTCCAGATAAACAATATGACTAAGTAGACGCATGAGGAGGAAGAACAATAGATCTACTCACTGTCAAGCTAAAGATGTAATGACGTAGAAAATGATACATTGTTCAGTGGACAGAAAAACTCGTAAGAATAAAACCTCCATTCAGACGTTAAGGAAGGTTTCAACACACATACCCACACCATCATGTAAAGGATAAGAAAATGCACTGAAAATATTACTCATCACTAACTCAGTGATAAGGTTTGGGGTTATTTCTATTTGGTCCTTTTTTATATTTATGGAATTTTAAAAACCATTTTGTTGTCGTACCATCTTTATCTCTCTTCTTGCCTATTCGGTGATAAATCTACCTGAAGAATACATCTTCTGTATACACCACTGACCACCCATCCTCCAGTCTGTTACTCTTACCAATTCTAACCTAACCTATGCAGAATAGCAAATATTAGGAATATTTTCCCTTGACTGACCATCTTGCCATCTACCCACACATCTGTCCCTTAATGATTCATTCATCCACCTAGGCAAACTCCAAATACTTCTTTCCCTTGACCATGACTGTTTCCCCTTCCCCCACAAGTGATGGCCCACAGTTCAAGGTACCTTGTAGCTGACTTGCACAACTTGGACAAAGATGGAGAGGGGCAGGCAGAGGAGAATGTCACTGACAAGAGCCCAGCCAAAGCCAAAGTCCCTGTGGATTGGGATGGGAGGGACGTAGCGCATCCATGAGATCTCATCCACGTATACTAGGAAAACAGTTACGAGTCACTCCCAGCAGATGGTATTCTCTCACCTCCCAAAGGCCTTTGTTCCCTTACTACCAACTTGGGTAAGACCCTCATGATGAGGCAAATTGAAGAAGTAAAGAGCCTAGAGTCAGGAAGGGTGGAAAGTACCTGCATTTTGATCAGGAGTGGGAACTGCTATTCTCCCCTCCCTGCCAGGTGCAGGCCCATGGTCTCACCAATTTCTGAAGAGAGCTCCATTTCAGCTTCCCAGGAGCTGCTTTCTGGGTTGTCTCTGGCTTCTGAGGTATCCCAGTCACTTCCAGAGGAGGGCTGGGCCCCTGGCCTACTAGATTCCTGCTTGCTGGCTTTACGTTCACTGCCAAAGTTCATCTTCTCTCCCGTGTGGCCAGCAGGGTGCCCATATACCAGGTACCACAGAAACATATGCATCACACGCAGGCGGGGCATTTTGGGAAGGAACCCAATGGACCGCCCAAGTCCAGGAACTGCAGGGAGAAAGGTGTGGGCAGTGCTGAGTGTATTTAGTTCAGTTCATCCCAGAGCTATCAAGGGACACCTAGGGCCTGGCTGTCAGGGAAGTGACACATGTTCTTATTCCCTCGACTTACTTTCTAGTGAGGAAAGACAAAAAATAAAAAAAAAAGAAAACCACCAAACATAGCAAGTCTGATGTAAAAAGTAAAGGCTGGGAGGAGGGATGCAACACTGCAGAGGCAAGGGAAGGACTCCCTGGGGAGGGCCTGGAGGGCCAGGAAGGGAAGACCTTCAGCTGGGCTCAGAGCAAACTGTGCAAATACTTGAGATGTGAACCCAGAGCAAAACAGTTCCTGTCATAGCTGGAGGTGGAACAGGGGCAGGAGATGAGGGCAGAGCAAAATGGAGAATGGAAGGACTGTGCTAAACAGTCCACAATCTCAATTCTATAACATTTCTTTTAAAAATGAATAATGTCTATTTATTTTTTATGTCATGTGCTTGGTGAGCATGTAGAGGTCACCTCTCTGTTAACAATTCCTCATGCTGAAATTGAGCATCTTTCCATCTGAGTCAATAGCTTTGGGATGGATGCTGGGCAACAATCACCCCCATTCCCAGATAGGGAATAAAGATGTGTGAATACTGAAATAGGACTGGCAGGCAATTCCACCCTGATTTGTCTCAGATGCAGAACATAAAGTGACTTATACACTCACCACGTACAACAGTCAGACATGTACAAAGCTGTTCTTTACCTATGACAGGTTTGTAATTTTTCAGTGGTGTTATGCCCATTTTCTCATCCGTCTTTTTCACCCGCCCACTTTCTGGCTTAGAGGAAGTATTTGGGTCAGAGTCCCCTGATCCAGTTGGGACCTCCGGCTCTTGGCTTTCCTCTTCTGCCTCCTCTTGGGGCACTGGAGTCTGTGGAACTTTAATCCTGCAGGCCAAACATAGGGTGCAATAAGCTGCTGGAAGGAAAGACAAGGCTTATCCTGCTAGGCTCAGGGTTTCAGACTTAACTGACCATGGGCCCAGGCAGGTGATAGAAGTAAACAATTTTGTTTCTTTTTCTTTTCTTTTTTTTTGTCTTTTTGAAACAGGGTCTCCCTGTAGCTCCAGCTGCCTGGAACTCGCTCTGTAGATCAGGCTGGCCTCGAACTCACAGAGCTCCGCCTGCCTCTGCCTCCCAAGTGCTGGGATTAAAGGCATGCACCACCATACCCAGCTGTAAACAGCTTTTAAAACACGTGGAGGGAGAAATGTGGGGGCCTTCAGAGGCTACTCCGGCCAGTAGGAAGGGAAAGGAGCAGCCCAGGATGCTATGTCTTTAGATACTTCATAGCAATTCATGAGAAACTAGTTGGTTCAGCTGATGTGACTAACCACAAAGCAGCCACAGCCAGGGCAGCTCTCTGTTCACCAAGAATTCATCCACCTAGGAACTTGCTCCTCACCTACTGGGCTGAGATCAGAGACCTCAGGAAGACAAGTACAATCACTACGTGCTATGATGAGGCTGAGCTTCAAACACCAGAGTGCTCTGATGACATGTACCAGATAGTCAAGAATTAGGGCTGATGGTGTAGCTCAGTAGGAAAGTGCATGCCTAGTATGATGAACACCCTAGCGCCACCAACACCACCAAAAGAAAAACAAGAGGGAAAGGGAAGGCAGCTCTATGGCTTCAGGCTGAAACAGATGCAGGAGGTCTCACCTGTTTGCCATGCTTGAGTTGGAGATCCGGAAGCGAACCTGCTCAATGGCACTTCTCACAAGAGGGTCATTCTGGTCCATGGATGGGTGCACAACCAGATCCACCTGTGGAGAAAGGGTGGAGTGTCCCAGAGGGCAGAGCAATGTTAAGAGAGCTGAGGCTCCACAGGCAGGTTCCACAGAGGACATTTTCAACATACAATTCAAAGAGATGGAAAACACAAGATAAATAGTTTGCTGTTTCAGCTCCAGATATCAAAACCCCTCAGGTAACCATGCCACCAAGTCCTGGACACCAAGCCACTACTCCTACAGTTCCCTGGATGGACTGTCACAGCCCACTGACTTCCCTGCTAGCTGGTATAGCTCCCCATACCTGCTCTGCTGAGTTTCCCCACTAAACTCAAATTTGAGGCTCTTATTTAAAAGGGGAAGCAGGACATGTCTCCTTTGGCTCTGTGTTGTTGGGAGGCCTGCCAGTGCACCTCTGAATTGATAAGAGTATTTGGGGCTGCTCTGTTATTACCTCTTCTTGGGAACTGAGGTAGAATGGTTATGATGGTTGCTAGTTCCTGAGACATGGGATGAAACCAGGAAGTGAGTAGCAGGCATGCCAGGAGCCAGGGCACTGGCAGAGGTGGTACAGGTCGGGGGTGAGTGACAGGCCATGGGTGAGGAGTCACAATGGCCTGGTATCCCTAGAACAGCCTTGTTTCTGTCACTGGTAGAAGTTAAGCCAGCAGCTCTGTGCCCAATGAAGACTGAGAGGGATGGGGACAGGAACAGGCCGCCCCTCAGGGGCCCAGTGTCAACAGTCCTCAGTGGTGAAATGGGGACCCCCTTGCCCACTTCTGCATTGACTTCAAAGGGATGAGTGGCAGGCAGCTGTGGAGGGAGGGGTTAGGTCAAAGGAACTTGAGGGCCTTATTTTGAGGGATGCACAGCTGTCAGATTGCAGCAGCTGATATTTTCCTAAGTCATTTTTTTGTACTGCTTTGTATTTTTCTAATTTCTCAAAAAATAAAGTAACATGTGAAATCAGAAATGGACCTGCCCACTTCTTAAGGAAACAAAGTATCAAAGCAGAGGTCTCTTGGGGCCAAGATGGAAAATCCAGTCAGGAATTAAGAGTTGTCTCTATAGCTCCACTGCCTTCTGCTCTAGTGTATAGCTTAGCCACTGTAAATTTAGGGCCCCGGAAAACTGATGCCCTAAAATGTGTGCAAAGCTACTTAACTACAGTTGCTATGGGAACAGCCCCCATCTTGACACTATAGAAACAGATACAAGGAATTGGAAGAGACAGACAAGTCCCGTAGACTGGCCACCACCCTTCCTGTCTCTGCAGAGAAGGTCCTGTTTGAGCCCAACAGGCCTGCTTCTCTGTCCTCCAGGCTGGCACAGGGCCAGATGTCCAACCTGGGTGGACTGTGCTAAGCTCCAACAAACTGCTCTTGCTCTTCTGTGGTTCCAGCTTCCTAAGATCAGGAGGACTCCTGTCTTCCAGAGGTGTAACTGATGTTCCAATCACTAACGACAAAGGATCAACCAAGATACAATGACAAGCAAAGCTAGACCAGAAAGCTTCCTATAGATGGCTCTCAGGGAACAAGGGCAGTCCAAGATTACCTTCTTCTTGATGCCATCTTGAATAACTGTAGTCCGATACAGTCTCAAAAGACCTTCTTCAGATAAGTTCCGTACCAGGCGGATGATGGACTTCTTACAGCACTTGGTGGAAACACCCTCTTGCTTCTCCTGGTCCATGATCATCTTCTGAATCCTAGACATGAGAAAATAAGCAGGTCACAGTCCCCACCTCAACATTCAGGGTGCAGAGCATGCCCAACAGGACTAATCAGGTACCAGGGAAGCACTGAAGTTTTTACACACTACATGGGTGGGCCTCTGGGAACATGAACTATCGTCTTTTTTAGAGTAAATTCACTGACAGGTTACTACCCACAGCAACTCCTCACAGGGCCTCTCACCAGCAACACAAGACACGTGATTTGATGGCAATGGAAGGGAAAGATGAAAACAGAGTGCCAGAGTGGAAACCTGTCTTCACGAAAGTTGATACGCTTACAGAACACCTAGCTAAGGAATGTTCCAGTTTACTACTCGTTCCCTTGATCTGACAACGACTCTCTGTTGACCTTTCTTTCTCTAGAGCTGAGTCACTGTGACATTTCTAGATTATAGAACAGCAGGGCCAAGAGGTACATAAGGATACCCAGCCAAACTCCTCAGAAGGTCAAGGAGTTGATGTATCTGAAGGTGACCCTAGACCAAACCAGTCAGAGACACAGTGAAGAACCCACATTTGCTGAGTACAGGGCAAGAAAATTTTCCCCAAGGGTCTCAAGGCGGCCCCTCAGAGCCCTGAGAGTGCCGCCGCAAGCAGTGGTGGCTTCAAGGGTTACAAAGACCAGAGCGCAGAGCCTCTATCCTTAACACGCACCTCTGTTTGCACCTCTGGCAGTGCCACTACCTGTTTGTCCCTTTCCTCAGAACAATGTGCTAGGGTCTGAATAGAAAATGTCCCCAACAGACCCATGGAATCAATGCTTGGACCCAGTTGATGGTGCTACTGAGATGCTCTGGGGCCTAGCGAGAGGAAGTGGGACACTAGAGATGAACTGTCCTCTTTCTGCTTCCTGCCATGAGATGAAGATGCTTTTTGGTACACATTCCTTTCACCATGGACATGGACCAAGAGACCACATGCTGAATCCTATGAAAACATGAGCCACAATAAATCCTCCTTCCTTTACATGATTCTCTCATCTATCTGTAACAGCTACACAAAAGTAACATACCCTAAAGGAGGGCCAAGCAGAGTCCCTGAACCCTCACTAGAGTATCCAGCTACTCTTCTCAGCCAACTGTATGTAATTTGGCCTTAATCACACATGGCCTCTTGGATTTGGGGAGGGTTAAAGCATACAATCTGGGGAAGGCTAGGAAGAGAAGGCATGACACATGCTGGGTAAAGTCTTTCCAGTGTGCATACCCTCAGGTCACACATACACCTCAGCAACCCCTCAGTTATTTCGGTAAGTAGGCTCAGTAAATTCATTGGTTCCCCAGTAAAACTTTATTCAAACATTGGCCTGACACTAGAACCTTAAAAGGGAATAAGCATTGCTTAGCATCCCCAGGAAAAGAATTCTCACAACAGATGGAACTTTTATTTGTTAATACTATTATGTCTCATAATTATTAAAAAAAAGAAAGAAAGAAAGAAAATGAGACTGTAAAAGATGTTAAAAGGATATGGTAATGGAGATATTTTCCAAAATAGAAAAAAATGAGAAAGCCTAAGCAAGTGAAGGTCTGTGTAGATTTGTTATATAAAGGATGAGACAAAAATAATATACACATAATCTTAAAATTTCTAAAATCATAGTTTAGTCAACTAGATTAAGGAACAAAATATTTGTCTAGTCAAGGCTTATCTGAGAGTGTTCAGTTTTTACCCAAGCCTTATCTATATAGCACATGGTAATTAAAACTAGCATACTGGTGGAACAAACCTTATTGGATGTTTAACAGCCATACTTCGAGGCCTGTACTAATGTGGTCAGAGGAATTTAAAGGACAGTTTTTGCCCCTTGCCCTCCAAGGTCGACTAAGTTCCAGGGGACTATGGAATATCTTTCAAAATGTCAACTGGTAAAAGAAAGGAGCCAGGGGCTCCTCCCAAGCCCATGTGACCACCCCTGAGGAACAGAGCCTCAAAACTTAAGTGTAAAAATAAACTGATTTATTTGGGCAAACTGTATGGTCTTAAACACCCCAAAGGAAAGTATAACCAAAGAGCAAAATCATCAGTATACTTCTTTAGAAGTTCAAGGGATTACATTTTGCAGACATTAGGCTTAAGTCAATCAGTTTATTTGGGCCAACTGTACGGTCTTAAACACCCAAAAGGAAAGTATAACCAAAGAGTAAAGCGATCAGTATATTTCTTTAGGAGTTCAAGGGATTACACTTCCCAGACATTAGGCTTAAGTCCATATAAAAAGTTATTTAGACAATTATTTCTCATTGTTGATTTTGTTCCTAACCAGAAAGTGCTGCTCAGATGTAAGACTTCAAATCTTGGTCTGAAATACTGTAGTGCCCACCTGCAGATAAGGGAGACAACTCGCTATTGTTCTAAAATGATGGATGAATTTGTTTTCTCCCCCTATCTAGAAGCCTTTGGAAGGGAACTAACACTGATTCTAACCACTCCAACACCTATCAAAATACCTGAAAGCAATTCCTGAATCCATCATTCTTGAGTCCAGCCTTGGCAGACAAAAGAAAAATGAGGAGGAACCCAAGAGAGGGAAGCTTTTGGAAGCTCTCATCAAGAAATTCCAATGGACTCTCATATGAACATCTGAAATTTGCACTCTTGTGACTTTTTTCTAGTTCCCTATCTAGAACTTGTAATGCTAATTAATTACTTTTGCCTTTACTTCTCTTTCACCAAAAAAAAAAAAAAAAAGCGTTATGCAATTCGGGAGTCTTTTAGATAGACCCACTTGAAGGGATACCCCAATGCCTCATCCTGCGTCCCTGTTCAGCATGGAAGAAGCCAGAGTGGCCTGCATCCTGATTTCCTAACTACAGTTGGGTAACCTCTTCAAATGATGGTGTGATCAAAAGAGGAGGTAGGAATTGGCTAGGCAGTTAGGGTAAAAAGACCCCAAAGAGAAAAGTAGCCAGTTTCTTGGCTAAAACTCACAATGTCCTTGGGTCTCTTAGCAACATACTCCATTCCAAAGGTCGAAAGTATTTGGGAACATTTATCTAATCCTTAAAAGATTTTAGGGTTTCCTCTTCTGAGGGAGGAATGTTAGAGTAGCCAAAAGATCCATAAAAAAATAAATAAATAAATAAAAGAAGAAGAAAGAGTACATAAGAAGTTATCAGTAAAAAGTGATGGAGAGACATGAGAGGAGTTGGAGGGGTGGGAGTGGGCATGGATTCGATCAAAACACCTTATATGCATGTATGAAATTCTCAATAAATTATTAAAAAAAAAAAAAAAAAAGTAACATAACCAGGCAAGGAAAAAAGCCAGCGCAGGCTCTCCATCTTTTCTGTGGTTGGTGACAGGCTGTGGTAGGAGATAGTCAGGGATGGACACCACTTACGTGAACAGGCTCTCAATCAGGCGGAGGTTGGTGACAGCTTCTATGATCAGATTCCTGCGCTTTAGCAGTCGGTATGTTTTGTGGGGCCCCGCCTTCTGGGAGCCACTGCTCTCCTACAAAACACCAGAAATACAAGAACAGGGCTCAGTAAGGCCTGGGCCAGACACTACACCTGAGAGGCACACTTCCTTTTCAGGGAAGTCAGTCCTGTTATTTAAGAAGCGTCCAGCAGCTGGCTCCCTACAGAAGACCCCACACCACCCTCATTTCAGAATTGGAAGTAGCAGAGCCACCTCCTAGCCAAGGATCCTGGGTGGCTTCAGGATCACCCAGTTTCAAAACAGGACTTGGGGGCATCCTCTACAGTGACACCTACAAAAGCAAACAGCAGCTCCATGTCCACCTGTCTCCTCCCCAGTGTGGGGGAAGACCTAGTACCCTCAAGGCTGCTGTCAGGCTGCGGAAAACTCACCTTCCAGAAGAAGAAACCAGGGCTCAGAGAGATAAGGAACTGTCCCAGAGAGCGCACCCTAGGACAAGTATTCTGACTCCAAACCCAGGAAGTCTCTGGGAGACATGAGACTGAGGCTGAGGCAGAGCAGGTTGAGAGTTTAGACTAGGCTTCCCAGGGAGCATGATGGAAGGAACGGATGGGAGCCTGTGTTTCTCCCCTCATGCCTACCCAAACATCTACTTCATTCTTTCTTTTTTTCCTTTTAATGATTTATTTTTAATTTTTATTTACACTTATGTGCAGAGGCCCACAGAAGTTTAAAAAAAAAAAGTATCAGATCCTCCTGGAGCCGGAGTTAGTTTCTTCTCTGTCTTCTAAGAACTTAACTTGAATTTTTGCCTTTCATTAAAATGTGCTAAAGCCCAAATGTGAACGCTGAATGGAAAGTCTGTTGATGCCACTGGACAGCTACAAAATGTGTTCTGCTGGGTGACTCTTGCTTTCAGGAAACCACTGCACCACAAGAGGCTACTAGGTTGGTGCTGGGGTGACAGTGAGACAAACAGACAGAGCCTATCTTGCTCCCCTGCCCACTATAGCCACTCCAGACTAAGCATGGTTCTTTCACAAGGTAGGGAGGCTAGCAAGGGAAGAGTCTAGGGTTTTAGAAAGGTCCCACAAAGCCTGTCTTTCCACATGATTCAGAGTAAACATGCTTGAGGAAACAACCAGGAGTAACCTGGAGGCTGGAGAAGCAGAGCAAGAGCCTCCAGGGAGCCATAGAGACAGAAGGGAATATATTTCATCAGAAAGTGTCAGGCAAGGAGAGCGCACAGGAGCTCTGGCCTGGGAAGAAAGCTGTGTCAGGGTCAGGGGGACACAAGAAGGCGTATGGGGATGTAGTAGGAGGAAGGTGAGTGAAACCCTTAACCCTCATAGGGTCTGCTGCTGAAAGGACATTCCCAGCTGCAGACAGCACCAGTTAGCACACCTGACAAACCCTAAAGAGTAGAAAGAATCTAGAATACACTCATCCAGTACCCATCACATCTGCCACAGGGACATGACCAAAGCACAGGCCACCATTCTAATGTAAAAGAATGGAGGCCAGTGAGGTACCCGTGCCCTCCAATTCTTGGTCCACATGCTGTCATTGGTTCGGCAGCCACTTGTCCATCCTATGTGATCACCTTGCCTCTTCACAGACCAGAGCCCACATTTCTCCTTTAGGGCTGTGAAACCTAAATAAAACTTTAATATTGTATAACTGTATCAATTCAACTGTGAACCTAAAAATTTTATAGCCACTTTTGAAAGAGATGTATCTTTGCTCTGGAAATTGTTATTGAGTTATGTTAAAGCTGTAATGAAATGCTTCTTCTAAAAAGAAAAAAAAAAAACAAAAACAAAAAAAACCAACTTCAGCAAGAGCCACCTGGCCACAGATCTGCTCCATGCCAGGGCCATGTCCTCTACTCTGTTCCTGAGCAACAGCACTACCGAGGCACCTTCAGGTGACAAGGGACATGGTGAAAGGTACCCAAATCACATAATAAGCAAGTGTTTCCTATAATAACTGTCTTAAACTTCTTAACTACACTGATGGAGAAGTATGGGTTTGACCCCAGGGTGCTAGTGGTACCTGGTCAGGTGACAGTACCTGGACAGAATGTACTACTTATAGCTTTGGGTTTTTGATATATTTTATAGCAGATAGACAATACTGGCCCACGCACTGAAAGCAGGTTCTCAACCTTTGCTGTGGACATGGCTCATGGCACAATGCTTGCCCAGCATGTGAAGTCCTGGGTTCTACCTCCAGTCCAAAAATATAAAAATTAAAAATACTGTGTAACCAGGCATAATGACACACAACTGTAGTCTCAGCTACTCAGGAGGCTGAGGAAGGAGAATTACTTGAACTCAGGAGGAAGCCAGCCAGGCAACATAGGGTGGCCAGATCTCACAAGAACAGCATCAACACAGCCTCTGCCCTCTACCTACTCAAGGTCTCTGGCGACCCTCTTCCTAAGGTCTTCAGGTCCCACCAAATGTCCTCTGGGAAGCCTATCAGAATCTAATAAGTTAGTTGCAAACTTTCCCTTTGAATTTAAGGGAAAAGAGCACATAGAACTCATGGGAGACTCTGAAGTGGGGACTGATGATAGGAGACTGTGCCACTCCCTATAGAGCTCCTGCACGCCCCCACATAGCCTGCGCCTGGCAGGCGGCATTCTTACTGCAAGCTATCCTCCTTGGGACTCAAGTACAGGATCAAGAAGCCCAAGTCCACCTGCCACAAACTCCGTGGGCCATCACTAACCTTGGGGTTTTCAAGCCGGACTTCCTCGATCACTGCAATGTCACCACTGTGGTTCTCCACACAGTGGGGATCAAAGGATGCGTTGAACTCAGAGGAACTGCTTGTGTCCAGGCCATCCCTAGCGCCAGAGCTCCGGCGGGCTCTGTCCTCAGCAGCACCCGGGGAGGAGGTTGTCTGCTTCTTCAATGGGTGCAGGTTAAGGACTTTCCACCCTCCTGTAACCACAGCAGGATACACTGGGTGATCAAGGGACAGTCAAGGCAGGTCCCTAAGCCAGGAGACCTGCTCAGGGTTCACTACAGTCTTGTAATGAAGACCCTCCTCCTCTTGCAAGGCTGAAGAGCAGATCTGCAAGTCTGTCAACCTACCCACCTCCTCCATACACGTTTTAAAGTAGGATTCCAAGCCAGTCATGGTAAAGCACACCTATAACCTCAGCACTTGGGATGCTGAAGCAAGAGGAGTGAATTCAAAGCCAGCCTGGGTTACACAGTGAAATCATGTCTCAAAACAAGAAAACAAAACTTAATGGGTTGAAATTCACCCCCAACCCCCTGAGCAGCATATGAACTAAAACCCTGAGGGGTTCTTGAATGGATTGCTGTGGAGAAGGAATGAAGCTCACAGAACTCCATCCTGTAACAGTAAAAACACACTAAAACAAAACTGTTAGTCCAGGAGACTATCTTGCAAGCAGCAAGGGCACATCCTGTCCCCTCCAAACCTATGATTACGGGGCTGACAAGTGACACCACTAGGTCCCAAATCAAGATAGCGCCCAGTGGACCTCCAAGTTTTTGCTGATCTGAAAAACTGCTTCCTCACAATGCCCAGCAGCACAAGAGTGCATAGTACTGCCCACCCCCCCCCCGCATGCACCAAGCAGCCCTTACCCTTAGCCGGAGTGGAGTGATGAGGCTGAGAGCCAGGCCCAGCATCCCCCGAGGCTTTCGAATGTCCCCGGGACCCTCGGCCTCTGCGCTTGCCCCCACTACAGCTCTCGTCCTCAGTGTCTGAGTCAGAGAGGAAGGCCTCTTCACCCTCGGGCACAAGGGACTCATCCTGTACAGAGGCCAGGCTCACAGTGGTCAGCAGCTCTCCCCGGGCCTTTTCACGTGCGTATTGCCGGCTCAGGTCACTCTCCTCTGCAAACACGCAGGAAATGTACTTGGTGGTCCGCTGCCGGCCTTCATCTTCCATGAACCCCTGGGGGAACCATATATGTTAGCCCATTTAGGAGAGGATGTCAATACCTACAGGTGTGTGGGTGGCCTGTGTAGCCCTTCCCTGTCCCACTGGGACTCAGGGCTAGCCTTCATAGGCCTGCCAGACATGAGAGCTGGTCTGTGTCTGGGGCCAGGCCCTTAACTTGGTCTTCTACGTAGCCTCTGTGCCTGATGCTGGAATGACTCATATATAGTAAGGAAGCAGTGTATGCTGGGTACACAGAACTCAGGGCTCCATACAATGTGGAGTCAAGGCCTATAGGCATCAGCTCCACTGAGCCACAGCCTTAGGGACTTGTGGCTTGGTCATCATCAATCCACGTTCATCTTGCTTTCTAAAATGGGAAAGGGGTTCTTTCAGGATCTTCTGTGTACCTACTACCCTACCACATGCCAGGGATGGTGCCAAGTGCTCTGCTGCCCTTAGCTCAACTAAAACCCTACTGTGTAATAACAAAAATGTCCACAAAGTGGGTCACCAGAGGGTCTAGATGAATATCCTCTAACAGCATGTGCAAAGGCTCAGTCCCGGGGCCGGGGGGTGGGGTACGCTACTGGGAGGGTACAATACTTAGGAGGTGAGGTCTAGTTGGTAGTCCTTGGTCATTGGGGAGTGCTGTCAAACAGGAGTGGGGGACCCCAACCACCTTCTTTCTTTCTTCTTTTTGGCGTAAGCATTTTGCTCAGTCCTGTCATGAGGTGTTTGCTGCCTCACTAGAGGCCCCAAGCAATGGAACCACTTGCTCTTGGACTGCAATTTCCAGAACATAAGCCACAACATTTTTATACGTTAAATGCTTCAGGAACTTCATCAGTTACAGAAAGCTAACACCAGCCTCAATCACTGAGACACAGCTCTGAATTACAAAAAGGGAACACCAGGCATGCACTTAGCTTGTGTGATGACTCCAGGTGTGAGGCAAGTCATACCAATAAAGGGCAAGCTGCTTGACACTAGCCAGCTCCAGCTGACTGCTTCACCTGGGTGAGCTACTGGGGTGGGGGGAGGCGGGGGCAGCAGCTGCCACAGCATCCCTCTCTCTAGTCCTGACAACTCCTTCAATTTTAAGAAGCAGATCCAGAAAAGCCCCCAGTGAGGGAGGCCTAGCATGCTGTGGGCAGCCTCAGGCAGCCATTGCCTCCTGGACAGATGGCAGGTGACCTGCTTCTCTGACAGCACACATCAGACAAGGTGACATGACAGGGTGTTACCTTGACAACCTTGAACCGCTGAAGGAGGCGACACAGCATTCTTGCTTCCAGTTTTCCCACGTTCATAGCAACTCGGATCTCAGCTTGGGAAATTCCTTTCGTGCCTCTGCGCTCAACTGTGAAAAACAACACACTGAACCCCACCACCACACACAGTGACAGCTGAACACAGTCATTTCCCCACTGCCTTTGTAAGCACAGACATAGAACTGACAGACAGGAAGACCCAGGCCTCACTCTCCCATTTCTTCCCAGGAGTGCTCTACTGCCAAGACTAAACACTACCTGATCCCGAAAATACTAGCGAGTCTCCACACTCACACATTAAAGGAAAGGAGACCATGGCCATGTAAAACGGGAATTGAACTATTAAGGGCTTTAACCTAGTCAGTTCCAGAGAACATCATTTTTAGGCAGCAGTAGGAAATTAGTCATTTCCAAGAACTTATTCAGATAAGTGAAATTGAGTCTTTCAAAAAGCATCAAAATAATTTTAAGGAATTTTTTTTTTTTTGAGACAAGGTTTTGCTGCATAGAGAGACTGGCCTCAAATGTGTGATCCTCCTGCCTCGGCTCCCAGGTGCTGGCATGGTAGGATTATGTCACCACACCCAGATCCTGACACCTTTCCCTGAATGTGCATTCTCAGCAGACACAGAAGCACTGTGGACACAATGGCCCTTTCTCTAACAGTCAGGCCAGCAGAAAACACAGGAGGAAGTGATGGCACTCCTGCAGCCTATGATTTGCTCACCTATTCCTCAATACTGTACCTGCCTCTGAGAGGCCCTTTCTAAACGCACTATTTTCTGGGGCTGAAAACTAGAGAAGCCTGACTACCTCCTACATGACCTGCAGGGAGATGGTAGCAAAGCTCTTCAGAAAATGTCCTTTATCTCTTGATGTACCCACACATCTGAGGCTGCCAGACAAAAATCAATCAGGATGCAGAAGGCTTTCCATGTTGGGCACATAAAGATGACCATCTTCAGAATGAGAGCGGATGGCCAGGATATGTGCCTCTACTGAATGTACATGTGGGGACAAGTAGCTATTCCCAAACTGTGCTCTGAGGAGGCCACCTGAGATGCTTTGAGAACTGTCAACCAGTCTTCCATCAAGGCCAACAGATTTGCCAGTATGGTTTCTGAACTACTGGCTGAGTTTAAGAGTAGGACCAATTTAACCCAGGTGTGGTGACGCCCACCTTTAATCCCAGCACTCAGAAGGCAGAGGCAGGAGGATCTCCGTAAAGTCAAGGCCGGCCTGGTCTACATAGTGAGTTCCAGGCAGGGAGACCCTGCCTCAAAAAGATGAAAAAAAAAAAAAAATTTTTTTTTAAAAAAAGGGGGGTGCTGGAGAGATGGCCCAGTGATTAAGAGCACTCACTGCTCTTGCAGAGGACCCTGGTTTGATTCCCAGTACCCACATGGTGGCTACCAACTGTCCATAACTCCAGTTTCAGGGGATCCAACACCTTCTTCTGACCTACGAGGGCACTGCACAATACAAATGAACTTACACCCATGTAGGCAATATACTCATTATACATATACATGTAAGAAATTAAAAAAAAATCAATCAAATTTATAAAACAAAAAACAAACAAGACTAGGACCACATTAGAAGGCTCTGGAACTTTTGAATAACACAAAGAGTGCTGAGGTCTGAATTTAGCTCCTGTCTGCTGAGCTTAGCACAGTGGTTAGGGGTGCAGGGGATAAAGGGCAGAGTCCTCCACTCATCAGAATTCTTATTCTAAACCTCAGGGTACCTCAGGTGGAGCTCCTTCTGCATGCCTGCCTGCCCTCCCACTTTCGTTGCTTGAGTGCAACAGCACAGGACCCACCTGAGCTCACCAGATGTCAGCACCTAGTATGAATGCCCGGGCTCCAAGCTCAAACAGACTTTTCCTTAAAAATTGCCTGTCCTAGGGTACTCTGTTATAGAAACAGAAAACAGACTAAAGCAGGCAGTTGGCTAAGCTTCCTGAGTGCTTTCTGTTTGGGAGGCACTGTCATAAGCATTTTATTCCCAAGCCTTTTGCCCCCAGAGTGAATTTATGTGGGTCTTGGCTATGGGTGTCTGCTTGGCTGGATTACCAGATTCCTGGATAAATGGTCAGTGGTATTTCTGGATGAGCCTGTGAGGGTATTTATTTCTGGAGGAATCTGGCCTATGAGTCAGAGTGCTACATGGGGAAGATCTGTCCAAAATGTGGGTGGGACCACCTCATCAGAGCTGGGAGCACAGTGAGAATAGGAAGGCAGAAAAAGATGACTCATATTCATCATTCATCCTCTCTCTCACCCTCCCCACCATCATGGGCCTGGGGCACTTTCTCTTCTTGCTCTGGGACATCAGAACCTACAGGATCTCTAGTGCCACCCTTGGTCTCCCACCTGTGCCAGCTACGGTGGCCTCAGTCTGTTTCATGAGACAGTTCCCTGACAAATCCCCTCACAGACACAGCAGACTATTGGAGAACCCTGATAAACATGCCCCATTTCCTAGATGAGGGAAGCAAGGCTTGGAAACCTTGCCAAAGTCACACAGTAAGGTGACAGCAAGACTCAGTACTCTGAGTCTGACCCAAGGCTAAGCCTGAGGGAAACCTGTTTTATGGATCTGATAGAGCCCCATCTCCCACCCAAGGAGCACTCTTCCCACTCCAGTGCTCCCGAGCCATAGGCAAGCAGTGTGGGAGCAGGACTCACTGAGCTCATAGGTCTGTGTGAGCATGTCCCGCTCAAACACAATGTCCACTGGAGGCACGCCTTTAGAGATGACCTCCTCATCATCGTCATCGTCATGGTCATCTTCCATCTTCCGCTTGAATTCCTTCAGCAGTTTAAGGCACCGAACCATGACATCAGTCCCTAAGAAGAGAAGCACACGTCAGTGGAGAGTAGATATGGTGCTCACAGGAGCAGTGGTTGACGCCCTCAAAGGTCAAGCTGATCCCAACAAGGTCACCCCCCATGGTGTGTTTGCAAAGTTTAAAACTGCTACTCTTTGGGGCAGAGAGATGGCTCAGCGGTTAGAGTGCTTGCTGTTCTTCTAGAGGATCTGAGTTCAGATCCTAGCACCCAAGTTAGGCAGCTCACAACTGCCTGTAACTCTACTTCCAGGAGATCCAACGTCTTCTTCTGGCCTCCATGGTACTGACACACACATGGCTTATTCATTCATTCTCTCTCTCTCCCCCCAACACACACATAGTATATTCTCTCTCACACATGGCATATTCTCTCTCTCTCTCTCTCTCTCTCTCTCTCTCTCTCTCTCTCTCTCACACACACACACACACACACACACGCACACACACACACAAATAAAAATAAATACTGAATTAGAAAAATAAAACAACAAAACAACAAAAAACCTCTGTTAGTTTTAAGGACAAAGTCACATTGGGCCACACTGTGTTCAAAGAATTCGAGCAGGAAGAATGATGTAGGAGGAACGAGGGCACCCTACTAGGGCTGTTAGGTAAGTGAGCCCATACTGTCAGAGCTGCTCAGGAAAAGACATGATCTGTCCAAAGCAGTCTTCCAGCCCTGAGGGAGGGCCCATGTGTGAGATCTGCTGAAAAAGTACATAACCTTCCGAGAGCATCTCAAGAGGCCCTTCTGGGTCACTCTGAGGTGGGAAGTTAGCTTTCAAAAACAATTCAAAAAGGCCACTAGGACTAACAGGTCCAGTGTCTAGCATTCTTTTTTATTTTTATTTTTAATTTTATTTTATGTGTATGCGTGTATTGCCTACATGTAGGTAAGTGCACCTGTGTCATGCAATGCCTGCGGAGGACAGAAGAGGCTGTCAGACCCCCTGGAACTGGAGTTACGGACAGTTGTTAGCTGCCATGTGGGTGCTGGGATTCAAACCCAGGTCTTCTGCAAGAACCAGTGTTCTTAACTACTGAGCCATCTCTCCAGCCCCATCTAGCACTCTTAACAATATTAGGCAGTATTAGCCAGTGACTAATACAGACAGAAAGGTGGGGCTAAGCTGAGAAGCAAAGTCACACTTTGGGCTCTGGGGGAACCAGCATCTGCCTTCAAATGACTACTCCATGTCTACAGCAACCTACGAAAGCGCATCAGTGGCAAACACACACTTGTGCCTATGGATAAGGATGACAAGGACAGGAACACTAGCGATACCTGGCACCAGACATGTGTCAACTCACTGATCCCGATGACTTCCAGGAGCATTTTATGCATGAATAAACTCAAGCATGGAAGGGTTTGGTGTCATGTGCCCAAGTGCACAACAGTTTATAATTGACAGGGGCAAGTTACTCTGGCATCTCTTCTCTTCAAGCAAAAGCTAAGGTTGAGTATGGGTAGGGTAAATGGCATGTGAATTCAGAGTGTGACCCATGCCACCCCCTATCCCCACCCCACCTGAAAGGAGTCCAAGAAACTATCAATAAGCCCATGGGGCAATCTAGAAGAGGTGACAACCTTAGGTGGCTGCAGAGAGGCCTGACCAGAGTCTGGAAATACAGAGTTCAGGGCATCACGGGAATGAGAATGACAACACAGGTGACAAGTACATGCTCTAATCAGCCGGCCAGATGGGAGCCTACTCTGACAGCTCTACCACTCTGGCTAAGTGGCATGTCCACCCTGTGCCTCAGTTTCCTCAGCTGTAAAATGGGACAAGAAACGTATCTTCTGGGCTGGCCAGATGGCTCAGTGGAACTTGTATGCAAGCCTCATGACTTGAGCTCAATCCCTGGATCCCACAAGATGGCAGGAGGGAACCAATTCCCAACAGTTGTCCTGAATGTCTTGTCATACATGCACCATGGTACTCACTCATGTGCTACCCACCCCCGCCGCCCCACACACACCATTTTTTGTTGGGTATGGTAGAACATGCCTGCCCTGCCAAGCTGTGGGGAAGAGAATCTCAAGTCCAAGGCCAGTCCAGGGTACAGAATCCAGATGATCTCTTAAATAAAAGGAAAAGATTTTCTCAGGGTTGTCTTAGGATGGTACAGCTGAGTGAACATGTGCCATTGCATTCTCTATCACCAATGCTGCCACCATTAAGAACGTAGTTGTGAAGAACACAGCTCTGGAGGCCCAAGCATCACACCCAGTCCTTGCTTCCACCCGTAATTCAATAAATTCCATAATTATTCTGCATTGAGTTCAGAACAAACAAGACAGGCTTCCTCCTGCTATAAAAAGTGGCACAGAGGAGGCTGGCATGGCAGGGAGGGCACAGGGCTTACATACCACACAGTCTGGTTTGGAGTTCTAACTCCACCATTTCTCCGTAGCTCAAGTTGCTCGTCCAAACAGCTAATTCTAAGGGCATCTTGAAGGACTGAGTGAAGACAGGCTCTCTGGCTGGAGGACTGCAGGGATACAGACTGTGGAACACGCCACAGTGTACCTAGGGCTCCATCTCTAGCACATATGGGGATTAGAGATGAGCTAGAGGTAGTATGGGAGCAGGTGGAGGGAGTTGGGGAGTACAGTGTGGGGGAAACTGAAGGATGAATGGGTGGTCTCATCTGGCTAAAATGGCATTCCAGGCAGAGGGGAAGAGTGAAAAGGGGGCAGAAATGAGGATGGAGATGAAGAGCAAGGCCAGCCAGGGATGGAAAGTCTGCACACTCTAGCGAAGGGATATTAGGTTTCTTTTGTAGGCATGATGCTTGGGGCTATGTTGAACTTCAGAAGGCCTACAGGGAGTCAGATCTGTAGATGCTGGGCCCTGGAACTCTCCTCAGCTGCTTCACCTTCAACACAGCCCCAGACCTACCCACTTCCCTTTCCTCCTGGATCCTACCCAGTCTCAAAAGCAGAGGGGATTGAGGCCTGACTGTTGTACAGACTCCATACTTTCTGGGCTCAAATCCCTTCACCAGCATGACTCCGCTCGGAGACCTGAGCACATGATCCATACTCTCCATTTTCTTGGCAATGCAATGAAGAAAAAGAAGAGTGGAGAGGTTAGGAGAGTCTGAATAGAGGTAACACTTAGGACACCCAGCATGTAATACAGCTGTTCCTTCCCCTATATGGCTGACCACCAATTGCACAGTAGGAGGCATTGTCTTTCCTGTTTCCTCTCTTCAATATTGAAGACAAGCCCATGGACAGGATTTTCTTAATGTACAAGGAAACAAGGATATTAGTAACAACATACATGGAGGCTTACAAAGGTTTAGAAACTACCAATGTTCTTGGGTTAGAGTCATCATAAAAACCCAGCGCAAATGTCACCTCCCCAGACACCTGGAATGAGTCAAAACCTGACAAGAATAGGTCCCAAGAGCCCTCAAGTGTGGAGATGGGAAAGATGCTGTTAAGCTACAATGCTGAATACAATGGCCCCAGAGAGCTTGTGAGGGCCCTGAGCCCTTTGCTGCTTGGTAAGTTGGCCTGGTTGAGACCCATCACAGCCATATTCCCAGCCCCCATTTGCCCATATTTATGTTACTAGGCTGGTGACCTAGTGTACTCTCCACCCCAAGCCATCAGCAAGTGACACCCTAGGAAGGGACAGGAAATCCCAGTAGCCCCTCCTCCTGCACACAGACAGCCACTAGTCCTTGGTGTGCCATGGTTATGGCTGGCCCCAGCCTAGTTCTCTAAAATCCATCTAGCTGGGACACTCATGCCCTTTCCTGTTGAGAGCTGGACAGCCTTGGGAAAAAGGACAAGGTTGCTTGTCTTTGGCAACCCCCACCCCCCAATGTCAGGCGCAGTAGCACATGCCTTTAGTTCCAGCACTTGGGAGGCAGAGGCAGGTGGATCTCTGTGAGTTTGAGGCCAGCCTGGTTTACATAGTGAGTGCCAGGCCAGCTGGGGCTACAGGGAGACCCTGTCTCAAAAACACCAAAAAAGGGGTTTAATTTTTCTTGCAGGACTAGAGAGATGGATCAGAGGTTAAGAGCACCGACTGGCTGTTCTTCCAGAGGACCAGTACCCACACTGCAGCTAACAACCATTCATTAACCTTAATTACTAATGACAGTAATTAAATTTCATTCTTACAGCTGGTGTCCTTTAATCACTTTTATTAAAAGAAAAAAACAACCTTGTTATTTTTAACTGTTTTCCAAACACACCACTAAATTTCTATGTCTTTAAAATCTGTGTCAGTTTCGTTCCTTTGTTTTAATTTTATACTTGACTTGCCTTTTATCCTGTTTTTCTGGTCTTCATTTTTTTCAGTTAGAGCTTTTTGCTGTGATGCTCTGACAAGCCTGTATGTTTAATCTACTGCATTTCTGGCATTCTCTGCATGGGTAATTTCTCTCCTAGGTTGTATACTTTATTAACCATAACTTTTTAAATGTCCCCCTTTGCCATCTTAATGGTCATAATTTAGTTTTCTGTACCCTGTTGTATTTCTTGGTTTAGTTTTTATTTTACTTAAAAATTCAACAGCTTTACTAAGATTTAATTCACATAACATATAATTCAGTCCTTTAGTGGGTACGAATCAACGGCTTTTTAACAGTCACAGATCTGTGCACCTAATACCAGCCAATTTTAGAAGAGTCTCATCACCCAGCCCTTTAGTTATCACTCCCTCTATTCCACTGTCCCATAGCACTCGCACCTCACGTTCAGATTTCCCTGACTGAACATTCCTAAAGGTCGAGTCACAAGTCACTGGCCACTGTGACAAGCCACATTTTCTTCATTGGTGGGTGCCTGAGAACCAGTGGAGCCTAGATGCATGGCTTACTTGTGGGTTACCAATTCTACTCACTGGCCAGTCCATCTTCCTGTGCCAGGCACCACACTGTCATGATTTCTGTTGCTGTGCAGCAGGTTTGAAAGTGGCAAGTGTGAATTCTTTCTTCCTTTTTTTTTTTTTTTTTTCAGATCCATTTCAACTTTCT